TAATAAATTTGTTAGTCTCTAAGGTGCCACAAGTACTCCTGTTCTTCTTTGTACTACTACTGGCTCTGTTGCAGCTCCTTCTGAAGATAAAAACTTTCGCCAAGGTGTCAGTCCAGCACCTATGCAGTGTTATTGTAGAACAGTGGTTCTGCCGCTTGTGCAGGGAAAGCCCCTGGCGGGCCGGGCCGGTTTGTGTACCTGCCCCGTCCGCAGGTTTGGCCGATCGCGGCTCCCACTGGCTGCAGTTTGCTGCTCCAGGCCAATGGGAGCTGCTGGAAGCGGCGGCCTGTACGTCCCTCAGCCCGCGCCGCTTCCAGTAGCTCCCCTTGGCCTGGAGCAGCGAACCGCGACCAGTGGGAGCCGCGATCGGCCGAACCTGCAGACGCGGCAGGTAAACAAACCGGCCCGGCCCGCCAGGGGTTTTCCCTGCACAAGCGGCGGAACAAGTTTGGAAACCACTGTTGTAGAAGAACTCTATGTGTAAGCTCAAAAGCGTCTCTCTCAGCAACATAGGTTGGTCCAACAAAAGATATTACCTCAGTCCAGCACCTGTCATGCAGTGAACTAAATCCACTTAAATAAAACAACTCTGATATTTCCTTACTGTCCCGAGAGTATTTTCGGAGACTAATAATTATTCTCAATATATTTTTAAAGTATAAAAAAAGGAAATTTAAGCACCACGCCTGTCATTTACTACATTTCATTATCCTGTTTAACATTTTTCAGCCACGCACACATTAGCAGTACAGCCATTAACTACTGGAGGCTCGTGGCACTGTAGTGGTGGAAGGGGGCATAAAGAGCAAGTTTCTACTTGTGCACTGGAAAGTTTAGTTTGGGTTTACTTTGCAGTGTGACTAAGTCTTCTATCACGGCAATATTGGTGTTCTTTGAAATACAGTTCTTAGCAGAATTACCATTCTCAATAACCTGCATAATAAAAGTATAAATTTGTAACACCTGGGGAGAAAAAGCTCTAAACAAAAGCAAAATTCCCTGACCACAGCCCTGACCCCCTACCAACATGACAGGTATTTTTTTTCCAAAATGACTTTGCATTTTGAAATGGCCACATTCTCCCTGTGTCTTGCTGTCAAAGATGCCTTTGGGGCAGCAATTAAGTGTACAATGGAGACCATCAAGCCATAAAGAGAGAAATACAATATTCTTTCAATTGGCTGCAGGGAATGAGATAACACAAATCAATTCCCTGCCAAGGCACACTTTTGCACACATACATTTTATGTACCTATCCTGTGGCCCTAGGGCAAAACTAGAGTTTTTCCCTCTCAAATAAAGCTTACAAAGCTTTGAGAGGGAGAGATTTGAAAGCTTTAAGATGCAATTATGAGTGGCATTGCAGATTGGATCATTAATCAAAGTTCGAAATGTTTACTTTTCTATTGCTGGTAAATATTTAAAGTTGGGTTGGTATAATGCAGTGATTGGCCATTCCAGTCTGAATATTGTATTTCTGCAGCTTTTTCTTTCTCTTCACATTTTAGTTGCTACTCATAAGAAGTGCCAGATTGACAGCTCTTGGAGATGGAAATCTGGTATCTGCCACTGATTAGAGTCTTCTTACGAGAGGCTGAAAGGTAACATTTATCCATATTTCTCCTTTCTCATAACTGATTTTCCAGAGTGTTAAATGTTTTAGTTCACTGTACTTTCCCACCAGAAAAAAGCATATCAATGGCTCCAATCAACTTCCTCTTTTGCTGCTCAGCAATTCCCTTCCTCTGCAAAATCCACTCATAATCAGGCCTAGAGGCTAAAAATGTGAAAGGCCTTGTACAGCTTCAGCTTGCAAATGACACAGGAAAGTCAGGGCATCCAGAAAGAGAGGGAAGCAACACACTGTCCACTGCTAGTGAAAGTCATGCAAAGATGTGTAAGAAGTTTCATTAAAAAACAAACAAAAAACTTCACATGCAGCAGCTTTTTGACTCAATAATCAAGCCTCAGAAAAAGCAAGCTGCCTTTTCTGCCTGGCTGAGGGTGAAATTTTGCCATTTCACTTGAAACTTTGCTGTGCTTGGATGAAATCACCTACCATCCACAGCTGCCTGTCTGTCCTGCTCCCACCCCTGCCCATTTCAGACCCATTTCTTTGGCTCCTTCCCACACTGCATTTTCTAGTCTTTCTTCCTCCCAACCATCTCTCCCAGAGCAATTGAGCTCTTGCCTCTACCCATGTGTTTTTCTTATCAGGCTTTCTCTAGTTCCTATTCCTCCTTCCATCCTCCCCAGAGGCACCTGAAGTGGTTCAGGGCTAAAGTGGTTGATGAGAAACTATCTACCAGGAAATACAGAGTTAAGCCACATTAACACAAGGTGTCCGTCCCCCCCTCGCCCACCCCCCCCACACACACTGGAATTTCTGTGTATATTGTTAAAAAGAGAAAAATAATAATTGAATTTTGGAAACTTCTGAAAGTAGAAATGTCTGAAGAATCTTAACTACGCTGATGCAGTGAAGTGTGCACTACCCATCACTAATATAAATAATCAATTCAAACTCTATTTCCATTAATAGCAGGCAGTACTCCGAATGAGATTTAGCTCCTACTCTGTTGCTTAGACATTCAACCTGGCGACAGGCTCCCTTTGATAAAGTGGTGCACGGAGAGAAGCAAGGCTGCTCTCAGGAGTGATGTGCTCTGTAAAATTCAGGATCACTCAGACAATCATTTCAGTTTTTCAAAAACTCTCCCTCTCACGCCAATCTCCTCTTTATCATCTGTCCCCACAGGCCAGTTCCCAGTCTCCCCTTCCTCCTTTCACATTCAATCCCTTCCTTACCTCTCTGCTTAAACACTCTCTTCCTCCCTTTATCACTGCCTCTAGTGGAAGAGAAAGTGCTAGAAGCAAAGCTAGAAGACTAGGCCCCCTGCGTCTCGGGTCCTGTCTGTGGAGACTGGGGAGCTCAGGGAAAAGTAGAATGTGGTGAGAGAAACTACAGAGCAATCTACTTATGCTCCTGGTTGAGGGTCTCTCAGATGCCTCCTGCTGCTGCCTGCACCTATTGCAACTGGCAGCTTAATATACCACTCAATGACGTGGTGAGTTTTGGGCCCCTCTTCTTTCCCTAAAGTAATCGTCCTGGCTGTCCCTCGGATGGCAGCACTGCTTAGAGAAAGACCATCTACCTTGCCAAAACTCCAGGGTGAGTGGCCCAGAGAAGTCCTGCTGACAGACTAAATCTCCCCTGCAGCTACTGAAGTAAGGACATGTGATTCCTGTGATCCCTCAGCAATGAGGGTAAAGATGCAGCTTTCACTAACTCATGCACGCTGGGTGGAGGTACGTGTTATATATTCCACAGTAAAAAAAAACTACACTAAAAGAAACATTCAAGTTGTAAGATGAGGGATTCGAGTCAGGAAATGTCTGTGTTAAAACTGTATGGGCAATCTTAGCTTTACCCCCTTGTGTACACACATTATAGGATCATACGCTTTTATTTCTGCAAAAAGAACAGGAGTACTTGTGGCACCTTAGAGACTAACAAATGTATTAGAGCATAAGCTTTCGTGGACTACAGCCCACTTCTTCGGATGCATATAGAATGGAACATATATTGAGGAGATATATATACACACATACAGAGAGCATGAACAGGTGGGAGTTGTCTTACCAACTCTGAGAGGCCAATTAAGTAAGGGAAAAAAAACTTTTGAAGTGATAATCAAGCTAGCCCAGTACAGACAGGTTGATAAGAAGTGTGAGAATACTTACAAGGGGAGATAGATTCAATGTTTGTAATGGCTCAGCCATTCCCAATCCTTATTCAATCCTGAGTTGATTGTGTCTAGTTTGCATACCAATTCCAGCTCAGCAGTCTCTGGTTGGAGTCTGTTTTTGAAGTTTTTCTGTTGTAATATAGCCACCCGCCGGTCTGTCACTGAATGACCAGACAGGTTAAAGTGTTCTCCCACTGGTTTATTTCTGCAGAATCTCTGACTCACTCTGATTGCTGGTAGGATTTGAATAAACAAACCAAACCAAATGTTGTTTGTATGGGTTTCCCAATGCTTTTGTATGAGATCAGCAATGACACAAAAGAACCCCATAATATGGAGCTATTTGCTGGGCAGCAGCAGAACACAGCATCCTGCACCTGACACACACAATGAGCCAAGAACTTTGTCTGCAAAAAAAAACCAGTGGTCAGCCTACACGAGTATAGGGTTGCCATACGTCTGGGTTCTCCCGGACATGACCTCTTTTTTGGTCTTCCCATCTCCGTCCAGGCGAATTTTTTAAATATGAACAAATATCCATGATTTTTCCTTGCTTGTCCTTTTTCCAACATCAGACTGGTAGAACTGCAATTCCCGGCGTGCCTTAATAGCGGCATGCATGTTTACTAATTTGCCACTCCTACTTCTGCGCTGCTGCTGGTGGTGGCACTGCCTTCAGAGCTCGGCAGCCAGAGAGTAGCAGCTGCTGGCAGTGTTGCTACCACCAGCAGTGCAGAAGTAGGGGTAACATGGTATTGATTGTTTAGTTGCTGAAAGGAATCCTGCTTGTACAGTACAACTTCAGGCACACATGGTGCAAAGACTTTCATGGCTACTTGATGAGCAATCAACCACCGCTGAGAAAGATATGCTCCACAGAGAAATATGCATGGGCACAACAGGAAGAAGCGCAGTAGGAAAGGACTGATTGCATGTAAAACGGTACATTTAAATCTGATTTACATTTATTTTTGAGGCCATTACACTTTTCATTTATAAATATTAGATATTCAAAGTAGAAGAAACTGTACAGTAGAAACTGTAACCTCCCTCCTCCGGCAGAGTCCTCTATTTGGGAACTCAAAATATGGTAACCCTACTCAAGTACTCCCACCATTGCTACCAAGGTGGAGCTGCTTTTTAAGATACCATTCCTGCAAAATGCTCAGCACAGACAGATCCCTGTGCCCATTCAGAGTCCCCATAAAGTCAATTGATTTCAACCTGAATGCAGGGGATCCACCTGAATAGATTATCCTGAGGGACTGCAGACAAATTTGGTAGTAAGCCATAAAGGGTTTTTCATAATTCTCTCCAATATTCTCATAACAGTGTGAAAGTTTGTGTGTAAGATGAGTGGAATTTTCTATCCCTAAATGTGTGCATGGTACAGGTCTTAAAAGCATGCAAACACACACACACACGAACACCACTATGAACCATGACACCTCCATCATTTTTAAAGCAAACAACTCAGCCAATTCAGAAATAATATGTACGTGCAGATACCATATGCCAAAAGGCAAGCCTGTTTTTTCTCATCATCCATATACTCAGCTGAATCAGGCGTGCATTAGGAAATTACAGCATCTTTTCTAAATCTCCTCTCCATGGCAATAATAGAAAAGTCACTCTAATCTGGCAAAACAGGCAACCGTGGACAAGAGAAATCTATTTTGTAAGTGACTCACAACAGTCCACTGCCTTGACACTGACGTCAGCCATTACTCAGGTCAGTGCCTGCCCTTCAGAATCAAGGCTTATGTTTGTCACTCAAGAATTATTGGAGCCTTCCTGAACTTCAGGGTTTAATGTGCAGTAAAATGTATTGCCAGATCTGGGAGTCTGCTTAATCAGTGCTACGATCCAAAATATCAAGCACTGTCTGGTTGCAAACATGTTTTAGGAGTTTTAGCAATGGGTTTTAATTTAGCTCCTAAAACAAACTATACAATGGATGGTTTCCCAAAGTGTGCTGCTGTCTAGGATCCTTCTCTGCCCAAGGCACCCAGGCTCCCATAGGAGCTCTGCTGCACATTATTTCCAGTTTCCAAAAGACAGAAGCCATGTAGCAGAACTGATGCTCCTTCTAGCAGTATGAATCCTTTTGTGGATTTCCTCTCGAAAACCAGGAAGGGACCGTACCTAGAGAGCACCTGCTCCCAAGCTCCCTCTCAACACATACAGAGTACACAGAACAGCTGAGGGTCTATAGGCTCTGGGGATTGGGAACATGGAGCCATGTTCCCCTGCCACCCACCTTATTTCTGCACCAACTCTTTGGCTGGTGAGCAAGTCATTATTTCTCACTCTTTCATTTCCTACCAGTGGGCGCTCAGCATGTAAGCGTGTGCGCACCAGTATGACATATCGTGTGGGACACGATGGACTGCCACAGAACTTCACGTGTTAATGGGAAAGCAAACTGCACTTCGGAGAAACACTTTCAGAAGTGATCAGTGCTTCCTCTGAATTTAGTGCTCTCTGTAACCAATCTGTCACATTTTACAGTTCTAGTGAACAACAGCTTTTCAGATCTCTCCAAAACCTGGGGCAACGTATATCTTACTTTCTTTCTTTTTTTTTCCTTTTTCATAGGTGGTGTGGAAACATTAAAGGTCAAATCTGAAAGGATGCGTATATCCTTAATTTCCAGGAGGAAAACCAGTTTGAAAGATGAAAAGCAACTTGCATTGACATTAGCTAAAAATGGCACAGGGAAGCAAAGCAATCAGAGTGCTGCTAGTGAGCAGCTCTGTGAAGTTCACCAAGCAGGTGGCTACGTGGATGGGCAATTTATTCCCCTTTAACTGTCATTTACAGGAAACAGGCATACAAAAGTGTCAGGCTAATCTGTTTACTTACTGTGTAAAATGATAGCTCAACCACAACACCTAAACTTGTTCTGTTTACCGTCAAATGAAAACTACTTGTCACAGGGATGGATCATTAATATAACAAAGTTTCCTGGAAACATAAAATGAATGGTCTTATTTTTTGCTTCAGGTCTGTTGCCGGCACAGAGGGCCCGAGGGGGCAACAGCGGGGTTCGTTGCGCGGTGTGCTTCGTGCCAATGAACACACCAGGGTGGAGAAGCAGACAAAGTTTATTCAAGAGCTCTGAATAGGCACTAGGAGACCAGCATGTCTCAAATCAAGCGCACTGAGACAAGCAGTTTTCCCTTTTTATTCTTTTTTTTCCTTCCCTACCTTCTCCCCTTCTTCCCCTTTCCTCCCTCTGCAGTAGTTACATTAAACGACCTTGGCTGCGTAGCTTGTTCGCTATGTTCCCTTCTGCAAGTAATCTTGTCCTTCAGCTAGAAGCATGTAGGTTTCCCTTATCACTACCGCTTCCCAGCTGCTGGCCTGTGAGGTTAGTAAAATTTAACATGCAGGGGCTTTGGTTCACTTTGGCCTAGTGCGGGGGGGCTTCATCGACTCTCGTGGTCTTCCAACTCCCAGAGTTACCTAGGGTGACGCCTAGTGACACCAACAGGTCTATGTAACAGAAAGGACTGTTCTAAAGGAAATAGCAGTGAAATTTAACAATGGTTCTAATCATGTCTGTCTCTTGTCCAGATCTTAGAATAAAAGATGCAGTGAGAGTCAGGATTACATTATTTTAGCATAATTTGTCAGCTTCTGGGAATAGCCTATAGGGAAATATCTTGTCTTTCAATACTCTAAAAAAGTGAAGTATGAATTTAGAAAGCAATATCACTGATGTCTACTTTCATAATTTCCCTTTATTTAAACAGCACTTTTCATTACTAAATCCCTTTACAAATAAGCCAAATGCACTTTATGCTGCCCTTGGTATTTATGCCTAGGGTATTATAACATGATATTATTTAGACTGTTATGCTCATCTTCAGTTGTGTATCTTTCCTGCCCTTTCCAGGAGACTCCTGACTGCGCAAATGAAGTTAGCCTTATAGCCAAAATAAGCTCTATCCAGAGTGCTTCTTTCATTCCTACCTCTAACACCTGCCAAGTGAAATTCCTCTGTACTACAAATCAGGGAAACCAATGCCAGTGCTTTACTAAATTCTGTTTTCTTGCGTGCTGAAGCAATGATGCAGCTAGCACCCTTCACTCTGTTATACAAAGAAGTAAAGTCAAAAAGATAAAAAAGTCTGCAGATTGGAAATAATGAAAACCCTGCAGAAATAACTGTTCATAAAAGGAGTGAATTGTTCTGCAGCATATGCATGCTACCGGTATAATTTTAGTTGACTAGATCAGTAAATGAATATGACTACTACATATTTTCAGTTTTCTGTATTTTCCCCCTACTAATTCTAGTCCTTTAATGACAAGAGCCAACATAAGGAAGCTGGTGCTCAGTGTTGTTGCTGACGATTTCTCAAGACAACTACTATTAATGATGTAATAGTGAATAATACAAAATTCCTCTTTAAGCTTCCAAAGACTCAGAGGTGGGGGGGAAAGAGGGAAGGCTGCACCAACCTTTAGGATGAGGATGGGTGTGTGCTCCCTGTCTTGCATAACCATAGGAGGGCTATTCACAAGCTGGGCCAGAACCCTCTGGGATTCTCTATCATGCTTAGTACAAAGGCATTGCACGGTGCCTACAATCAAGCATTCAGGCATTTAAAGAATAACACAGTAAGGGAGAGACTGCTGAATGCTGAGGATGAGTATGCTTGTCCTACGTAAAGTATACTGACAACTCCAGACTCATCTGCAGACCGATGCAGCAATTAACACCCTTCCAGTAATCCAATCAGTCCCTACATCATCTCCCTGTACGGGACTTTCCTGACCAGCAATATGGCACATTCTCCTAGTCAGGGCTGGCTCCAGCTTGTTTGATGCCCCAAGCAGTGAAGAGGGAAAAAAACAAAAAACAAAACAAAACAAAAAATCTGCGATCGGCGGCAGATCTCCTCTACCGCGCTGCTTCATTCTTCGGCAGCAATTCAGCGGCCGGACCTTCCCTCCGAGAGGGACTGAGGGACCCACCACCGAATTGCCGCCGAAGAGCCGGACGTGCCGCCCCCAGCCCTGCTCCTAGTGGTTGAACCCTCCCAGCCGGTGTCCTGACTTGATCATGCTCACGGCTTCATCCCATCCTACTCTCTCTCCCCCAAACCACTCTCCCTTCCCTTCCTCCAGAGCAAACCCACAAACCGACCCACCACTCATCCCTCAAGAGGTTCTTTTTCCAGGTGTTATCCCTTAGGAAACTAAACAGCTTTTTAAGAGTTACGAAGCACACACAAGTGAGCAATGGAGAAAAGTTATGCTTTGAGATACCCAGGAATGTGTGGCTCCAATTAGTTTTGCCTTAGCAGTCAGAACACTGCTTTACCCATCAAGCTGTCATAAAAATGAGCGCACCTACGGTATTGGCAATACTTTAAAAAGCAAAGCCTAGTCAGTATGCCAGCTAGACAACCATTTTCAACAACTTCACTGGATGTTAAAAAAATGGCTATGCAGTAAAGTACAATCTTCTTTTTTAAATTTACATTGACATGCTGCTGGTATGTTCAGGAAAGATAGCTGGAAGCAGATCACTGAAAAGAACAAGCTGCTTTTCTTGTTTGCATTGTACAGAAGAGAAGTTTTAGTTTAGCAAATCTCCTGGGCTCAGAAAGCAATGTATGCAGAGAGGGCTGGATGGCACGATGGATTCATGGTTTAAGCCACGATTTTCAAAAACAGGAGCCTGAAGTTAGAAGCTTAAGTCCCTATTTAGGCTCCAGAGGAAGTGGCCTGACTGTAAGGCCTGGTCTACACTGGGGGGATGGGGAGGATTGATCTAAGTTACGCAACTTCAGCTACGTGAATAACGTAGCTGAAGTCGACGTACTTAGCTATACTTACCGCGGTGTCTTCACTGTGGTAAGTCGATGGCTGATGTTCCCGTCGACTCTGCCTGTGTCTCTCACCCTGGTGGAGTACCGAAGTCGATGGGAGAGTGCTCAGCAGTCGATTTATCGTGTCTAGACTAGACATGATACATCGACCCCCGCTGGATCAATCACTGCCCATCGAGCCAGTCGGTAATGTAGACAAGCCTAAGAGTTTTGAACACCCAGGAACTCTCACTGAGGTCACCTGGAGCTTCTGAGAACTCAGCACTTTTGAAAGTTGTAGTAGGTATCCTGTGATCAATTCACTCATGCTGGTGTCATTTTCACAGTGTTTCAATGGGTGATTGCTTTCATCCCAGCTGTGCCGGTCTCCTTTCTGGGGCACCTTTGAAGTAGGGAAGCATTATTATCCCCATTTTACAGACGGGGAACTGAGGCAAAGAGAGATTAAGTGACTTGCCCAAGGTCACACAAGAAGCCTCGAGGACACAAGGATGAAGTCTACAGAACATCGAGTCAGCTATCAGAATATTGAATTATTTTGGAGAGAGGCATTTATAACTATTATAGGAAACTCTGCATGCCTTTGACTTGAGACTGAACAGCTGAAATGATTAATTAATTTGCATCACCATAACACCAGAGCATTTGAGTAAGGACCCCAAGACAGAGTTTACAGGATATGTAATTAACACAAATTGATTTGTGATCCCAGGACCTGGATCACATAAGGGATTTCACATAAATTGATTTGTGATGTAGGGAAGGGACATATGAGTTGCTGAGATTTCTAATGAAACCTTCCAATGCAGATTTTTTAAACTAGTTAAGTAGCAAAGCTGGACTGCTGGGAGAGAAGGCAATATGCTCTTTATTCTTATGCAGCTGCTTCTCTTCTGGATCTGCAGGATTCTCTCTGTAGAATCCACCTTCACAAAACTGCTCTGGCTCCCTTTTATTCCTTCTCAATGTTAATCTTCTCTCATGTCAACTTCTGTAGCACCTCTTGTCTTTCCCATTATCTTAGTGTTTGGCCCAGGGCACCCCCAAGCCCAAGACAGATCATGATGTTGTCTTCCATTTTCACTTCCCCCGCTCCCATTAAAAGCCTCATGTCATGGAAACCCTCCCACTGGTGGAGGAGGGCTTGATTTAACTCCTCCATGCTCAAGCCCATCAATTCTGCTTTGTCGATCCACTGGGGGAGTCACTAGGGGGCAACACAAGATGATCCCTCCTTCCTGTTGTAAAGCACCTTATACCCAGAGTGCTCCCTGCTCCACCCAAACCAACATTCTTATTGTTAACTAGAGCTGGTCCTGGGCATGTGCAAGATGTGTTGTAGTACACTGTCCTACACAACTAGTCATGTGGTGGCACCAACTCAAAAGGATGCAGTAAGAAGCAGCCAGAAAGGGAGCCGCTGTGCTCAGAAGGGGACAGGGCCAAGAGAACCTCTGGAGTTCCTGCAGCTGGAAGGAGTAAAAATATCCTATCACCAACTCCTGGCAAGGACTCCACATGGCCCCACATGTCCATCATTGGGGCCTTCGGAAAAGGGTGTACAGATCTCCCCAGCAACTCCTGCCAGTAAGTCTGATCTTTTACTCCTTTAGGTGGGAAATGGCCCCGCAGAACAGGAATCATAATTTAATTTAATCCCTCCTACCTATAACCATCCCTTCCCTCTCATCCCACATTTATTATATACACATATGTGTCCCTCCTAGGCCAGCATCCATGCACTTCCATCCCTCATGCTTTTCAAGATATCAGATCTTAAGCCTGTCTCTTCTTCCTGGTCTAGCAGCGCTTTACTGGCAGGACTGGATATACCAAGGCCAACACATCAGACTGATGTGATTTTAAATCCCCTTTTGCAATGAGACAAAAAAAACCTCCCAATAAATCACTGGTGTTGGATACCTGCTTTATACTCAACCTTTCGGTTTCTGTTCAAACAAGATGGCCAAAGAGTACAAATGAAAGCCCTGATTTAAGGACCTGAGTTAAAGTGACCCTTTCAAATTTGAATAAGCTAAATGTGTATTCACTATTGCCAGAGATAGGTTCTTGAAACTACTCTGAAAACTAAGAAAAATTTGTAGAACTTGAGGCAGCCAAAGGCAGGGATCATTCAGAAATGTGCCTGTGAACTTTGTATGGGCTCTTTTGATGCAATTCCTTTTAATGGAAATGGAGATTAATTTAATTAAGTTTAATAAATGATCATCTCTTTTGACCTAATATACTTAGGGTCAAAT